CAGAACTACTTTATAACTAAAAGTGCAATGAATGAGCGTTAGTTTCGGGATCATTTTAGTGTTAGAGTTATGATCGTTTTGATCCGTAGTCAACCCTGCCAGCCTCTCCAACACTAGTTGCAGGCAGTGGTTTTTCAATCATGCGACACTGTAACTACTACTATGTTAGAGGTATGAACCGTAGAATGTGTGTGTGAGTGCACCAATCTGCGCTGCCAGTTAAGACCTAGCATGGTGGCGTAGATAGACAGCAAGACACAGGCAAAAAAAACGACCATTGAACTCTTGCCCGGCACAAAGAAGAACAACCACTCAACCAACCGAAAGCCGAATACTGCTGCTGCGGCACATTGTTGGCTTAATTTTTATCGGTTTTTTCGTTGCCGTTCAATAAATCCACTTCACATAGAAGGTTCGGTAAAAAGGGGCGTTTTTTTTTTTTGGTATTTTATGACCGAACTTGCTTACGGCGGACACTTAACTTACTGCTGTCCTGCTGAGGAGGTGCTGGAGCCGATGTGCCTATGGCAGCGGCTCCACCCGATGAGCTATTGGAAACGCCGAAGACCGAATTTGACGTTGCTACTGGTCCTGCAGCAGCAGCCGCCGCAGATGCTGAATGTTTCGTTCCTGACGATTGGGAATTAGTACTGTTACTGTTTGACGAGGACGACGGGGACGTTTCCGCCGTCAGATTGATTGCTTGGTCCTCTCCAGCTTTATCGGGGGCCTTTGGTTGACCCCCGAGCTCCGGAGACGGAGCCATTTTGGAATGCGTAAAGCGAAGAAAAATAATATCCGGAAAAACGGAGCTTCTTTTTCGCCTCCACTTGTTAGATGTTCGGATCTCTCACCCGTGTGTTATGTGTGCTATTAGACTCCTATATACTATTCGATTGCTTCTTTTTCTGCGTGACGAAGGCGACGGCGACGACGACGACGACGACGACGGAGATTGTGAGATTATATTATTATTATTATTGAATATGTTCAGCGGCCACACGGCGCTGTCAAAAGAAAGAAAAAAAATCGCCACTAACACACACCTGTGCTTTCACTTTGGAATCCCAAAAACCGAGTGAAAGAAAAATCGTAGAAAAATGGGCCACTGATTTCCTCTCCGCGTGGCCCGACTTTATGGGGTCCTCCTGTAAATTTTGTTTTGTATTCTGCAAAAACAAAGACTGCTGTTGTTTCATAAAATCATGAGGTATTAATTTCTCTAATTTTCCAATTCAATAGGGAACAAATTCATCTGGCTCTTTAACTAATGTTTCTATATCACATCTGTCGGTTGTGACCCATTGTTCAAATTGTATTTCATTAATGCCTTTTTCCACGATTTCTTCCAATAACTTTTGTTCGAAAAAAGATGAATCCATGCAGTTTTCACATCGTCGTAGGCAGAAATCTATTGCTTTTCTTTCACATATCAAACTATCTGTAATCGACGTCAAATCAATGGACAAATCAAATTTCTTTAATTTGTAAATAATCAAATTAACAGTTTTATGAATAGTACATACACACACATTATGTGTCCCTGAACTAGTTAGGATATTACAGTTCTTAGGCCTGAGATTCGCAAAGGTTGAAAACCCAACTTATACTTCACTATTTAATTCTTTGAATCGGTTGTAGGACTCCCGTAATGTGGTCGTCAATAACCTTTTTTGAACTGACTGACGCTTACCATCTTTTTTTATTGTTACGCAATCACGCTGGCCAGGCATTGCTTTGCTGGTTTCATCGTCTTCAAAAAACTGCAGAACCAGTTCCTTCATATCATCACTCAATGCACAGCCTAACCTCGAAGTAACTCCACTATTACTTATTAGTACACCTTTATCGTTTAAAAGTTGTTTAGATTGTGTTGCCATATACCTGGTTGTGTTATATGTGTCCATAATTTTTTGAACTGTCCATGATCTAGGTAATACCGTCAAGAGCTGAAATTTTCAGTTTTCGTTGTATCTTATTTCGAAAAAATTTCTGTTAGCTGTTCAATAATTTCATTAAAATCGTCAGTTTTGTAATCATCTAAGTTTGCTTCTGCATTAAGTGCAATATGTGCTAATTCTCGGTGAAATTAACGAACTCAATGATCTTGCTATTGACTGAGCAAGCATTCCAGTTGGCGATCTTGAAGGCTTCATGGTCCATGATTGTCGATGAAACAAGATGCAGCAAGAATCAGCTCAGTTCTGGTCCTGCAGGAGCGCTTGATGATGACTGCTTCTGCCATAATGGTAATGAGTTCCTGGAACATCATCGCGACGTAAGGATAGTCCCGGGGGAGGATAAGCAGTCGTTGCCGCATACGATTGTCGATGCGGATTAGCCGAAGGGTTTGGCACCTCAGCAGTTGGTGGAACCAATGCAGCAGCAGCAGTCAAACGGTTGTTGAGTGGAAGCGGTGGAAGAACCGGAATCGGACGCCGTTGGTTAATGGCGGGGAAATTCTGCTTGTTGCGAGTCGGAACTTTCTTCCGACCTGGCTGGTTCGGCGTGGAGGCCTTTTTGCGGATGACCATGAATTCAGAACGTTTTGGACAATACTTACTGGTAACCCGATGAGCTGCACCACAATTGCCGCATTGTGGATCAGCGTCATCCATCCTCTGGCATGCTTCGGGTGCGTGTTGCTTGCCACAATCGTTGCAGCGATGAGCCATGTGACAATTTTTGGTGCCGTGCCCAAACATGAGGCAGTTTGAGCATTGGGTAACGTTATGGTGGCTAGGTTAATAGTGTTCCCAATTAACCACGATGTGGAAAAGGGCCTGAGTGCAATGTTTCGCTCGAGGTGGACCAATTACAGCTGGTCACGGTACTTACGGGAGGTGTCGTGCCGATTCATTTTAAATACTTGGTGCGGTTTTATACCATTCTCCTTCAGTTCCTCCGACAGCGCAGCGGTTTCCATGTCGGAAAAACCACGCAGGACTACTTTGAACGGCTTGTCCACCTCGATATCGTGGGAGAAACTTCACTTTTTTCTGCTTCAACAGCTCTTAGACGGCCTTGTAGTGGTTCTTTGCTGGAACCATCAGCTTGATACCTTCAGTGCTCTCCCTAAGCCCGGGCGGGAATCCCTTCAATTTTCGGCTCGTCGCCGTTGCCATGAATGGCATAACGGTTGCAACTTTTTTGATGCTGACTGAGCGTTGGTGGTTTCCTGTCGGGGACGCTTTCCGGACGAGCTTGCGACCGCATCATCACGCGGCGGTTTTCCCATGTTGGGATTGACGGTTAAGCAAAGAATTAAGGTTAAGTTAAATTAGGTTAAGCAGCGCTGTTATATAACTTCTCAGATTCAAGCAGCACGATGTGCAACCAAATGGTACTCAATTATGACGACTGGGTTTGGGGAAAACGTTTATTTCATGAAAACATTGATAAAATCATCCCTTTTTATTTGTACATCTTTCAAGTTTTTATGGAAAATGGAAAAAGCGTTTACTGTAGGAGATTATGATAGTTATTTCCTACCGACTGGTGTATTTGGATTTTAATTTCATCTATAAATGACAAAGCTATAAGGGTTCAAAACCTTACACCTTTTCGTGACGGTCGCAATTTTAGATTTTCTATTTACCCCCAGTACTTTCCCGTAAGACGTAGTCTACGTCAAAAGAATTTACCATATCAGCTTCTTTTATTCATCTTTAGTTATTAAGTCTTAACTGGAACTTCACACCTGCCCCCAGCTTAGTATTTTTCTAATACTTCCACAACAATTCATGTTGAGCTTTCTATGATAGCACCTTTTTGCATTTGTATATTGTATGGCAAGTGTCAAAATATTCCCAAATAAGTCGAGAAATTTACCAATCTGAAAAAATCTTAGACTCCGTAAATCGAATCCAGCCGTCTCCAGCTTGGTCATGTTTTGTAGCTGTGCTGTTCACCACACGTATTTATTATGTTGCAGAGTGAATGTAATATTTAATAAAATCAATTTATTTTACTAACCAGATGTGCAACATTCGAAGCACTACGATATCATATAAATTTAAATTTCGAGTACGGGTTAGGTTCGAGTATTCACATTTTCACCAAAATATAACATACGCCTTCAGTTTTGAGAGGCAGCGATACAATTCAGCCATAGTAAAAAAAACCCTCTCATAAAACCGAATACAAAAACACATGATAATCATATCATATAATCATCTTATGAACCTCGCAAGCAAGCGATAATAATTTCTGAAAAGTCTGATGTATTCATTATCATGCATTATTAGCTCATACATGGAAGGCATAATTCATATTTCCTTTTAAAACTGATTTTCACAATTATTTTTCGGCCAAACGTCAGAGCGCTAGTTTCAAACAAATAAATAAATCGGAAATTCACAGTTTCAATGGATTTCAAAAATTCTAAAATATCGTATAAATGTGTCCAAAGATCATTTGCAATTTTGAGAAACCCTCTGAATGTGTAATTAGAAAATAAATTAACTAATTAGAAACTGAAAAGCCAAACTTTTCGAAATTAAACAACTTATTATTCTATAGATACTATCATCACAAACGAAGTGACAGACGGAGCGGCTCGAAAACTTTGGTGACTAACCTGCTATTGCAATTTTTCAGTGTACCACATGGCAACACCACTATTACTGGATTGTACCACATGGCAACACTACTACTAGATTGAACTAGCATTTTCACCAAATGTACTAGAATGTGTTGGTTCTATCTCTTTCACTCTACTCAAAACTGAAATGCATAAAAAAATGACAAAATGATACGCACTCTTTGCACACTGTCAAAGAATCATTGTACACAAAATCAACTTTGTTCAAATCAAAACAAAAAAACTAACCCATCTGGTGGATGATGGCACAAGCTTCCAAGAAAATTCTAGTACAGTGAACCACATTATTTAAATGGATTTCTTCGCCAGTTAGTCGTCTGTCACTTCGTTTGTGCTATCATTAATCACTTTTTCGATATGATATACAACTATTATATGTATTATTTTAATTTTCTAGTGGTGTGCAGTGCTATGATACAACTGAGGGTGCCCAATGCGGTTCTTGCCCGGAACGTTATGATGGAGATGGCAGAACTTGTCATTTAAGGAACCCATGTGATGAACACCTATGTGCTGCAGGTTAGCTACGTGTTTAATAAGCAGTTGTGCTCTCATTGACTTACATTAAATTTTAATTTTAATTGGTGTTGAGACTAAAAAACTCCACTTTGGTGATATGTTAGTACGGTGGTGAGTGATATTTTTTGCAATATCACGAATGTTCTCTCATATCATAATCACAAGCAATGTCCGCCATGATAAGAAAATTAAACATTCGTGTGATCTACTTCCCCTAAAAGATCAACTTTCTCCCTTTTCACGGTACACATTTTAATTTCAGGCGTTCAATGTACGATGACCGAACATCCCCCGTTCTATAAATGCGGAGCCTGTCCGGTAGGATTTAAAGGAAATGGTACAGTGTGTCAGGACATAGATGAGGTATAATTTGCTTCTGATTTAAGTAATAGTTTAATACAAGGGTGGTTCAAAATATAATATTTTTATCAGCAAGTTCACCTGATTCTAAAGCAGGTCCTGTTAATTTTTCCAAAATTTGAGTTCATTTCTGATAAATCACCCTTTAGTTCGATTTATAACCCCGTAATATGAGCCAGTGAAAAAATTGGTAAAAATTGATGGAGGATTAGAGGTCGCGCAAATGATTTCAAGTATGTATGGAGATTTCGGTGAATTAGTATGTGACATTATTTATTTTCACTTACATTGCTGTAATTTTGGTTGTAGTTGTCCAAATGTTGAAAAAAAAATAATAGGGGAAAAATCTACTCCAGCCTAATCACCCATTCCCGGCCTATCGAGCAGAAAACATCTGATATATATAACTGAACATTGCATTACACTCATAAAATAAATCACACAACCAGTGGAAAATATCCATGTGAATTTCACATAAATTTCATCTGATCCAATAATTGGAAATTGCACCACTAAATCACATGAACGTTATGTGTCCAATGAAATCTATATGATTTCTCATATAGAATTTCTAATGCTATGTGATATTCAGGTAAAAATCATTGTTTTTGTTTTTGGAAAAATACTATGTGCGTTCCTAATAGAAACTAAGTGAAAACTTTTTTCAGTGTAGGTCCATTGATCGATTCTCTTCGTCGACTTTCTCTTTCGTTAATAACTTGAGCATACACTCAAAAAATTTATCACATATCTAATGGATGAAAAACATGTGAATTTCACATAGCTTTCATGTGATCACATAGCTAAAAATCCCACCACAAAATCACATGAATATTATGATGAAATTCATATGGAAAATCATATAAAATTAACGTGATCGCGAAAATTTTATATGAAATTCAGATGAATTCCATTAATTTTGTTTATGGATGAAAATTATTTGCGTTTCCAATGGAAGCTACATGAAAACTATTTTCGGTGTAGAACTGTTTCTTGATGTTTTTGTCGTATTGATGAAATTACGTTACGGTTGACCAGTAGATGATAATGTTTTAAAAAAGATAATGACGTTTTGCTACCTGTCAAATCGTATAGAATATTTTTTAGAACATCATCACTTTTGTGGTTTTGGATTTCAAACCTAGGTGTCGCATGCACTGGTGCAGTTTCGCGTAAATTCATCAATGAGATGCTAGATAAAAGCTTCTTTTATCGATCTGTGTGCTAAAAATACATGGGAATATCTTCACATGGCCGTGGGGATGCAAAGAGAAAGTCGACGAAGAGAATCTACTCAATGTTCAGCTTGATATCTATGATTTCGGCGTGTCAAACAAACGTTTGGTACGATATTTCTGTTCAATAGCTGCAAGTGAATGTGTTGAAGAACGCAAAATAAGATCTAGAAAACAAAAGGCGCACTTGAAGTGTACAAAAGGTGCACGCGAATTAACTTTTCTTTCCGTTCGATAGGCCAAAGTGAATCCCAATGGCGTTTCAATGGCTAATAGGCCCAAAAAAATTATGCCAAGTTGAGCCGCGAGAAGCAGTTTTTCATTTTCAAAAATAAACGAATATTTCGTGAAGCCTTATCAGAACTAAATAAATTTGGAAACCATCGATAATAATAAAATTCCGTGTGGTGCTAAACTGCCGTTATACGCACGGTGCATAAGGATTGCATAGAACATGGGCTAGCTATGCTTATAACGGCAGTAAACTACACTATATTAAGAAGAACTAAATGCGGGTTGTGCTTAATAGGCCAGAAATGGGGTAGTTAACCCTATTTGGTTGTAATGACAATGATCAACAATCCTGTTGTTGTAAATTGGCGTATTTGTCATGCACATATGCATCTGTAAATTGTCCCCATTTCGTATTTTTTTTCGCATTTCTATCTTTCTTGAAATAATGTGATCGTAACAGCAAAATATTTTTTGGGCATTACCATAAGGGGCCATTCAATAATTACGTAAGCATGATTTCCATTATTCAGACCTCCCTCCCCCCTTGTAAGACATAGTAAGGTTTTTTGATACCCCCTTCCCTCCTGTAAGATCTTAGGGGCTGTTCAAGACAGTTTTGGGAGGGGGGAGAGGTTTGACAATTCCATGGCCCATACAAAATTTAAACATTTTGAATGGACAATTGACTACGCAGGGGGTCAAGAATTCCAAAAAAAAACTGTCTACGTAGTTAATAGCCCCGTATGAACTTTTTTTTTCTTAAATCGATATTTCGAAAGAATCGTCTTTTTTAATGATGAAAACAACACTTTTTTTTATTTAAAAAACCATTTGAAGAGGCAAACAAAACTAAAAGAACTCCACAGAACAACAGGTTAAAACTTAATAGTATCAAGTTAAAACCAATCAAAAATAAATTGATTATTACTCGTCATCGACAGTCAATTCCTTCTTCGCCGACACGCGTTCTGGATGAATTTCAGCATCACCTAATCCTTTAGGAAATTCGGTTGTCTCACATATTCAAATTTTACATAGGTATCTTCGATTTGTCTTGAAATATTGCTTCTTGCGGCGAGAAAATTAATATATTTTGTTTTTTTTCTTAGAAACGAACATCGACGTTCTGCCTAAATAATATAATTGATATAGAGGAAATGGATGTACTGTCTGCCTTAATGCCCCTAATTTGGGCCCATACATAAATTCAGCAATCGACTAAATTGTCAATTGCGATCAAAAATATCTATTAGTATCGTTCATCTAGATAAAATGGATAAATAGCAGATTTTTAGCGATGGGCCCAATCTTATATCCGTAGGCCAACATTAGAGCCATTTCCCCTGTTTAACACTTTTATTGTTTTATTTTAATTAAAAGTAAATTTTGCTATACCCACATTCTAAAGTCAACTATCAGCGGCGCCGGCGGTGTAGTGATTACCTCTCACCCCAGCAGTCGGGCTGTTCTGAGACATAACATCTCTGATCACGTCTTCCTTCGGAAGGGAAGTAAAGCCGTTGGTTCCCGGTTCATGAGTTGATGGGTCGATAGGTAAGGTCCAGGTGTGGGAGCTGCCAAAAACTAAAATAGTTATTTGGAGAGCTGCACTAACAATATTTTTCTTGGGTAAGATTTTTATGTACCCCCCTCCCTCCATCATAAGAAATCCTAAGAAATTTGAAAACCTCTCCCCCCTAATTCCTTACGTAATTATGGAATGGCCCCTAGCAACAATATATTATTTTTTCAACATTTGAACATGTAAAAGCAAAGTTAGAGTGATATAGGTTTAACTACCCCATTTCCGGCCTATTAAGCACAACCCGCACTTAGTCTTTCTTAATCTTCCGCAGTTTAGAACCAAATGAAATGTCATTATTACTGATGGCTTCCAAATTTATTTACCTCTCCGTACGTACCGTAAGATTTGATAAAAAGAAACCAATCGTTGAGATATTGTCAAAAATCTACGGATTCTAAACTCGTCCTAACGCAATGAAACGCATTTGAAACGCAATTGAATTCACTTCGGCCCATCGGATGAAGATACAAATTGATTCGGTCGGAGCGCTTCTTTTGTTTTCGGGAATAATGGGTGCAAACCTTCATATCACGCGTTCGCATTGACTTCGTTCGGTAGCTTATTAACTAAAGTATCGTACCAAACGCATAATTGACTTGTTAACTCTGAAATCATGGATTTATTTGAAATTTTCTGCTCGATAGGCCCAAAATGGGTGATTAGGCCGAAGCAGTTCTCTACCCTAAGTGATTTTTTTTTTAATTCTTCCATAGTAATTCCCATACAAAATTCAAATCATTAGCGCGTCCTCTAAATCTTCATCAATCTTTACGGATTTTAACACAGGTTCATAGTTTGCGGCAATGATACGAACTGGAGGGTGGCCTATCAAAAATTCATCACTTTTTTTCAAAATGAAGCACCTTAACCATCACCCCAGAAGCACACTTCATACACAACGAGTTATTGCAAATAAGTATTGACTTTCCAATAAGTTACTGCATCTACCCTCCAACAAGTGTGTTTATAGGGTGCTCTTGAGTCGCATCGTATGTCTCTAACAATATTGTATTATGTTTTTTGGAAACTTGTTATGTCCGTAGTGTGATCTCATCGAACCATGTGACGTGAGGGTGCGCTGTACTAATTTAGTCCCGGGATTCCGATGCGAGCCTTGTCCACCAGGTTTTACAGGACTACATAGTGGTGGATTACACGCCGCAACGTTTGAATACGCTTTGCAGAGGCAACGGTGTAATGACATCGACGAATGCGCCGACGGTTCGGCGCGTTGTGGACCTAATTCAATTTGCATTAACACTGAAGGATCATTTGAATGTCAGTGCAACAGAGGTTTCGTGCGCAACTCCACGTATGGTTGTTTTGCTGTCGAAGGAATGTGTCTAGATGGAACTGTTTGTGACAAAAACGCCGTATGCCGACATGCTGGTAGCAATACGTACAAGTGAGTATCTGACAACTAGCAGCAGATTAAGACATTGGCCATTTAGTATAAACAATGTATCTTTAAGCAATGGCTGTTTATTAACACTCCGAATACGATGCCTCCGAAAAACGTGTAACGGCAAGTTTGCAATGCCACAACTTAGCCATTTCTTAATGAATTTCAAAAATTGTGGTACTTCTAGAATTCATTGGGTTTCTAGATGATTTTGATTGCAAAAAACTTGAAAATAGAGTCGTCTACTTTTTTAAAAAGCGAAAAGAGTTGTTACACGTTTTTTTGAAATGTGTGTTTGTAGGGTTTTGCAAGTGGCGCAAGATCTGTAATTTAGATTAATGGGCACCAATGTTCACAATTAGCCAGAATACAGTCATGGTTCCTATATATGGATCCTGGAGACAACGGAACGGTCCTCGAAAAATCCGGAACATCCGTAAAAATGGTCAATCCATGATCCTGATCCTAGAGCTCCGTGTTTTTTTTTAACATTAGGATCTGTGATATAAGAATGAATTTGGGTCATGGACCCAGAAGGCCATGGGACCGTCCTCCGGAAGATCCGGAACATCCGTAAAAGTAGTAAATCCACGATCCTGATCCTAGAGCTCCACGTTTTTTTTTTATAAAAATTAGGAACTGTGATGATCGAAAGAATTTGGGCTTACATGAATGAACCTGGATGTCCATAGGACCGTCCTCCGGATGATCCGGAACATCCGTAAAAGTGATCAATCCATGAAACTGATCCTAGAGCTACGCGTTTTTTTTTTAACATTAGGATCTGTGATATAAGAATGAATTTGGGTCATGGACCAAGATGACCATCGGACCGTCCAGCGGAAGATCCGGAACATCCGTGAAAGTGGAAAATTAACGAAACTGATCCTAAAATTCCGAGGTTTTCTTGAAAACGTTAGGAACTGTGATATTTGAATGACTTTGGGATCGTGACATAAACATGGACCCAGATGGCCATCGGAACGTCCTCCGCAAGATCCGAAAAATCTGTAAAAGTGGTCAATGTATGGAACTGATCCTACAGCTGCACAGTTTTTTTTTTCGAAAACACTTGGAGCTGTCATATATAAATTAATTTGCAGTCGTGACATAAACATGTACCCAGAAGGCCATGAGACCGTCCTCCGCAAGATCTAGAACATCTTTAAAAATGGTCAATCCTCGAAACTGATCCTAGAGTTCTACGGTTTTTTCGAAAGCATGTGGAACTGCGATATAAGAAATATTTTGGGGTCATGACAGAAACATGGACCCAAATGGCCATGGGGCCATCCTCTGGTAAGTCCAAAACATGCGTAAAAGAGATTAATCAATGAATCTGATCCTAGAGCTCCGCAGCTTTTTTCCAAAAACATTAGGAACTGTGATATAAGAATGAATTTGTGATCGTGACTTAAACATGATAGATAGCCATGGGACCGTCGTCCGGAAGATCAACAACATCCGTAAAATGGTCACTCCATAAAATTGAGAGGTGGAAGCTTTACTATGACGAGCACCTCAACGGTGATGCAGCAGAAAACGAAGGTGGCACGGCAACAGACCTTGGAACACGTGCAGAAGACGACAGGCTACTGATCTCCAAGAAGTTTACGAGGAGATCGGTCGACTGAAGAACAACAAAGCAACTGGTGTAGATCAACAACCAAGAGAGCTATTAAAATACGGTGGTGAAGCACTGGCTAGAGCGCTGCATTGGGTAATTGCCAAGATTTGGGAGGAGGGGATATTACCGGAGGAGTGAAGCAAAGTGTTGTATGCCCAATCTACAAAAAGGGCGACAAGTTGGATTACTGCAACTACCGCGCGATCACACTGCTGAGCGCCGCTTACAAGGTAGTCTCCCAAATTATACGCTGCCGCCTGTAACCATTTGCAAGAGATTTCTTGGGCAATACCAGCAGGGATTCATGGGTTCATATTCGCGATTCGGCAGGTTCTACAGAAATGCCACAAATACAACTTGCTTACACATAATTTGTTCATCGATTTCAAATCCGCATACGACACAATCGATCGAGATCAGCTATGGCAGATTATGCACGAGTACGGATTTCCAGACAAACTGACGCGATTGGTCAAGGCGACGATAGATCGAGTGATGTGCGTTGTACGAGTATCGGGGACACTCTCGAGTCCCTTTGAATCTCGAAGGGGGTTACGGCAAGGTGATGGACTTTCGTGTCTGCTATACAACATTGCGTTAGAATGTGTGATCAGAAAAGCAGGGATAAACACGAGTGGCACGATTTTCAGGAAGTCCATCCAGCTTCTTGGCTTCGCCGATGACATCGACATCATGGCACGGAACTTTGAGACGAAGGCGGAAACGTACATCAGACTGAAGGCTGAAGCTAGGTGGATTGGACTTGCCATCAACGCATTAAACACAAAATACATGAAAGGAAGAGGTTCTAGGGAAGACAATGTTAGCCTCCCACCCCGAGTTCAGATTGACGGTGACGAAATCGAGGTGGTCGATGAGTTCGTGTATTTGGGCTCACTGGTGATCGTCGAAAATGATACCAGCAGAGAATTTCAAAGACACATTATGGCAGGGAATCGTGCCTACTTTGGACTCCGGAGGACACTCCGGTCGAATAAAATTCGCCACGAAGTTGACTATCTAAATGAAGCTGATTAGACCGGTGGTCGTCTACAGCCAAGAGACCGTGACTATGCTCGTGGAGCACAAACGTGCCCTTGGATGACGGAACGTGAAGGAAGCGAATGAACCAAGAATTGCACCAGCTGTTGGAAGAACCATCCATCGTTCACATTGCAAAAATTGAGCGACTACGGTAGGCTGGGCATGTCGTAAGAATGTCGCACGACGACGCAGTGAAAATGGTTCTCGAAAGCGCCCCAACAGGAACAAGAAGAATAGGCGCGCAAGGTGGATTGACCAAGTAGAAGGCGACCTGGGAACCCTACGCAGACTACGAGGCTGGTGAAGTCTGGCCATGGATCGAGTAGAGTGGATACGACTTCTTCGGACAGCAGAGGACAACAAGGCCTTAGCCCGATTGCAAGCCATAAAATTGATCCAAGAACGAAAAACCGTGGAACTGTGATATTAGAATGAATTTGAAGTCTTAACATAAACATGGAACCGAATGACCATGAGACAGTCCTCCGGAAGATCCGTAAAAATGGTCCATCCATGATACTGTTTCTAGAGCTCCGTAGTTTTGTCGAAAACACTTCTAACTGTGATATATGAAAGAATTTAGGGTCGAGACATCAACATGAACCTGGATGGCCATTGGAACGTCCTCCAGAAGATCCTGATCATCCGTAAAAGTGGATCATCGATGAAACTGAAAAAACCGTGGGTTTTTTTCGAAAACTCTTGGAACTGCGATTTAAGATAGAATTTAGGGTCGTGACATAAACATGGATCCAGATGGCCATGGTCCTCCAAAAGATCCGGAACATCCGTAAATTTATCCTATGGCCATCCAGGTCCGTGTTTTTATCTTTATTAAGGAGACTTTCAGCCCTGGGCTGGTTCGTCTCCGGTACGTGTTTATGTCATGACTCCGAATTCTTTCTTATATCGCAGTTCCACATGCTTTCGAAAAAACCGTAGAACTCTAGGATCAGTTTCAAGGATTGACCATTTTTAAAGATGTTCTAGATCTTGCGGAGGACGGTCCCTTGGCCTTCTAGGTACATGTTTATGTCACGACTGCAAATTAATTTATATATGACAGTTCCATGTGATTTCGAAAAAACTGTGGAGCTCTAGGGTCAGTTTCATACAATAACCACTTTTACGGAATTTTCGGATCTTGCGGACGACGGTCCGATGGCCATCTGGGTCCATGTTTATGTCACGATCCCAAATTCATTCTAATATCGCAGTTCCTAACATTTTCAAGAAAACCACGGAGCTCTAGGATCAGTTTCGTTAATTTTCCACTTTCACGGATGTTCCGGATCTTTCGGAGGATGGTCCCATACCCATCAAGATCCATGTTTATGTCACGACCCCAAATTCATTCTATCATCTCAGTTCTTAGTGTTTTTTCAAAAACTGCGGAGCTCTAGAATCATTTTCATTGATTGACCACTTTCACGGATGTTCCGGATCTTCCGGAGGATGTTCCGGACCTTCCGGAGGATGGTCCTATGGACATCCAGGTTCATGTTTATGTCACAACCCCAAATTATTTCTATCATCACAGTTCCTAATGTTTAAAAAAAAACGCGGAGCTCTAGAATCAGGAGAGTGGATTGACCACTTTTACGGATGTTCCGGATCTTCCGGAGGACGGTCCCATGGCCATCAAGGTCCATGGCCCAAATTCATTCTTATATCACAGATCCTAACGTTAAAAAAACGCGTAGCTCTAGGATCAGTTTCATGGATTTGTCACTTTTACGGATGTTCCGGATCTTCCGGAGGACGGTCCTATGGACATCCAGGTTCATGTTTATGTCACAAGCCCAAATTCTTTCTATCATCACAGTTCCTAATGTTTATAAAAAAAAAAACGCGGAGCTCTAGGATCAGAAGAGTGGATTTACTACTTTTACGGATGTTCCGGATCTTCCGGAGGACGGTCCTATGCCCATCTGGGTCCATGACACAAATTCATTCTTATATCACAGATCCTAATGTTTAAAAACACGGAGCTCTAGGATCAGTTTCATCGATGGTCCACTTTTACGGATGTTCCGGATCTTCCGGAGGACGGTCCCATGGCCATCCAGGTGCATGTTTATGTCACGACCCCAAATATTTTTTTGTATCACAGTTCCTAATGTTTTCAAAAAAACCGCAGAGGTCTAGGATCAGGATCATGGATTGACCATTTTTACGGATGTTCCGAATTTTTCGAGGACCGTTCCGTTGTCTCCAGGATCCATATATAGGAACCATGACTGTATTCTGGCTAATTGTGAACATTGGTGCCCATTAATCTAAATTACAGATCTTGCGCCACTTGCAAAACCCTACAAACACACATTTCAAAAAAACGTGTAACAACTCTTTTCGCTTTTTAAAAAAGTAGACGACTCTATTTTCAAGTTTTTTGCAATCAAAATCATCTAGAAACCCTAGGAATTCTAAAGGTACCACAATTTTTGAAATTCATTAAGAAATGGCTAAGTTGTGGCATTGCAAACTTGCCGTTACACGTTTTTCGGAGGCTTCGTAGTCGGCGTAAAGTTTTTTACCCACCGTATTCGGAGTGTTAACAAATTAAATAGTTTTTTAAGAGCCTGTGGATTCCCTCAGGAGGCCTCGGAGGATTCAATCGTCTATATGTTTTAAGTTATATAGATCGTAGATACATACTTCGGCTAACTACGGTATTTTTCAATTGAATTAAGTGATTTTAGACTTTTGAGAAGGTATCCAATGTGAAAAATTATCAAATCGAGGGGTGAAACCTCAAGATAGCAATTTTAATTATTCTAGAAATATGTGTCCTCAGTCATTTCAAACAACAAACTCTGTAACGTCACATTCTTCGGTTTGGCAGTGTAGGAACGAAATCCTGCAAGCATACCATAATTCATAAAGAGGTTAGTTATTATAAAACGTGACGTGTTAGGGTATAAGTTTATTTTACACTTAAACTCAGGAGACCACAAGAAAGCCGTGTTGCACAGTGCGATTTGTTTTTTTTTTTTAGAATAGCATGCCCACACTCTACCAGGATGTATGTTTTTGTTTGAATTTTTTTCAGATTTTGTACAGTAACTGAAAAAAAAAATCCTTTTGAAGATTTGGAAAGTGTGATAAATTTAATAATTAATCACGAGTGAACGTGAGCTACTCAAATAGAAACTTTTGATCAATTTCTCTGGGAAATTTATCACACTTTTCAAATCTGAAATGATATTGACAGTTGTTGTACTGTATCTGAAAAAGGAAGTCACCCCATTTTTCAGATACAGTACAAAAACTGTCAAAAACAAATTTTTAACGTCACATATAATGGATTTATTGTTCATGGTCGTATGTTTACATATAATGTTAAACTCAGTCGTTTATTATGCTACTCGGATAGATTTATTTTTCTTTTTTTTCAATTAGGCAATTAGCGTACAAAAAGTAGCTGTAGTAACAATTTTAAGGGGGGGCTGCAGCCCCCTAGCTCCCCCGTGGTAACGCCAATGACTATTTCCTCTATTAAAAATTCTTGTCTTATACACATATTGATCGTTCCGCCACATATAATGTGATCTAAAGGGTTGCGCTATCTCTTTTCCAGAATACATTTAATTTACATGAGTCTTTAGTAAAAAAAGGAAAATAGAAAATGAAATAGGAGTATAAGCTGAGGTTTAGATCAGATGTATTATATTTTACGTTTCTAAATGGACTCGTTAAAAATTCGGAATCTCTAATAAAAGGGCAATTGGTGTCTTCTGCGCACTTTTTCGTTATGAGCAAAGGAATAAGTGCGTTTAAGACACCAAAACCATTAAGCGCACTCTTATGAGCGTTTCCGCACTTTTCGTCGCACTTATAATGTGCACAAAATGCAATACTATGATCAAATAGTTTAATAACTCAAACTTTGTTCTTTTTTTTTTCAAGATGCAAATGTAAAGTTGGATGGGCTGGCGATGGTTTTCACTGTGGTCCAGATAGAGATCTAGATGGATGGGCGGACTTTGATTTGGGATGTGCAGATAGCAGATGCCGCCAGGATAACTGCGTTTACGTTCCAAATTCCGGACAAGAGGATGCTGATAAAGACGGGATAGGGGATGCTTGTGATCCAGATGCGGACAACGATGGTGTTCTGAATAGTCCGGTATGATATTTTATCCCTGTACAACTCAATTTATTTACTCTTTTTAAGATTATTAATTTCAATAGGATTCCATTCATATAGCATGGATTGATACAAAGGTTGGGATTAATCTTAATAAAATCAGCTTATCGATCGCATTTTTTTTTGTAAAAACAAATCAATAAATTTTAGATGTAGGAACCTAGAATATTGAGGCTTTCTTTAATTTAAATTTCGAACAAAAATATAATAATAGGTGCATTTTTTTTAGTAAAAATGCTTAGGTTCTAGACAAAAGAAAGGTCAGATTGTAAAATGAGACGACACGTCAACCTTTTTAATAAAATTATGCAATCATCGAGTTAACAATACATCCATGACAAGAATTCGATTGTAACTTTTATGAGATGGCCACGTTAGTGATTTCAACAAAATTTATTTAGCTCTTAATTTGATACAATTTATATCTGACACAATTTTTCGCAAATGTCTTTGCCTTAAGTAATATAATGGGTCATGGTTTTACGTTTCTATTATGATGTGTTCCAATTGACCACTTTGTCAAGCAGTTTTGGCGTGACTTTCTACCAGCGATTTCACAAAACTGGACCAACTAATTTCCAGTTTTTTTATGAAACGCACAAATGTTGGCTAATTTTCTCGAGGTTCTAGAAGAAAAAATCCCAAAATAATGTTTTATTTCGAAGTTCGAGTGATAGTAAACGTCATTTTAAGTGCTCGAATGAAGTGGTTAATTATGGCCTACCATAAATTTGTCACGGTTCACTGAAATTAATATTTTCTTTAAAGCATTATGTGAATAAATGTTCAAGAACGAAGAAATTCGAACCACGGATAACCATATGTAACTTCTTCTCCTTAATCGTCGTAAACGCATATAACGATCAATATAAATATTATTAGTTTTGCCCAGCACAGCGCTGGCATCGCATTACTTTGACGTCTTCTATTAAAGAGATTGCTGACGTTTATCGTACGCACACTACATCACGTATACGTATACGCAAAATGTTTTCATCGCGAACAAAAACTTCATAGCGGTAATTTTTACCGATGAAAACAAATCACTGACTCAATCATACTTTAGCAATCTCTATATTGCACCATTGTTTGAGACTTGGCTAACAAGTTTTATTTTTTCACGCAAACAGCACTTGAGATGTAGTTAGTGAGTTTCGTGACGATATTTGTGAAAAGAGTTACGTCTAGACGCGTCTGTTTGTCTGTGTTAGTCCTACTTACACGAAACATTCATCAAAATTGTGGTGAACAACACCGGCTCACGGAACCACGTGGTTCACCAAGGTTTTTTAAAACACAATTTACGTTAAATGTTCTAATTTCTTCGTCACGCTGCACAGTGGTCAAGAATGCAGATTTAGGTGCAAGGATATGTTTTGAGTCTTAAATTGAAAATTAACACTAAAAGTTTCTTCTACAAAGTTGTCCCTTATAGTTAGGCTCTCATTTTTATGACAATGAATTCTAGGGTGGAGCTCTCAAGCAACTTTGTTAGACAAACTTTTTTATATCTCTTAAATTGACCGATTTAGAGCTATTTTCTTGAATTGAGTTAGGGTGTCTTTAAAAAAAAAGCAGTTGTTTTGCTCTAGTTTTCTTATTTCAATTTTCTCAGCAAAGGTGTATTCAAATGATTAGATCTGTAGAAGGCGCAAATATTCGCTGAACAGAGCTTGTCACAATTTTTGGTGTAAATACAGAAATTTTTAAAATACGGCTTTATGGACCATAGCATAAATACAAATGGCATCAAAATCCGATTTTTTTAAAAAACATTTAAGCATGTGAAAAATCAAAATCCCTTAGGTTTTTTCAACACGGTTTATTTTACACGGTACATATCCCCCGTGTATAAAAAGACCTGAGTGTATTAACATTTGAAAAGGGCATATTTTTAGTAGAAAAACGTCAATAACTCTCGTCAATAGCTTTGTTCAGCAAAAATTTGCGCCTTCTACAGACCTAATAGTTATTTGAATACACCTTTGCTGAGAAATTTGAAATAAGAAAACTAGAGCAAAACAACTGCTTTTTTTTAGAGACACCCTAACTTAATTCAAGAAAATAGCTCTAAATCGGTCAATAAATTTTTTTTAACAAAGTTGCTTGAAATTAGCTCAGCTATTACTTTGCCGAAACATGTATATATTAATTTCTACAAACAAAACGTTTTATTTTTGACTTTAATGATAATAAGAACCACCCTAGAATTCATTGTCATAAAAATGAGAGCCTAACTATAAGGGACAACTTTGTAGAAGAAACTTTTAGTGTAATGTTTTAATTTGAGGCTCAAAACATATCCTTCCACCTAAATCTGCATTCTGGACCACTGTGCGCTGGTTCTTGAACATTTTCCAGTCAAGTAAAGATCGGTTTCATGAAAAAAAAACTATACATTTAAGTGAATCGCGAAACAAACTTTCAGGTGCAGCCTCGGTTACTACCCTAGCCTGCAACCATACCAATCATTTGTGTCAATACCTTCTCGTGAAATCCATTGGAAGGCGAGCTTGGGTTGCAAAAGGCTCAGTATACTATTTTGTAAAGTTGTTAAATGAATCATGTTTTATCAATAGGATAACTGTCCACTGGTACACAACCCTGATCAGCTAGATTCTGACAAGGAAGGAGGAGATAAACAAGGAGATGCTTGTGACAACTGTCCCACCGTAGCGAATATCGACCAGCACGACGTAGACGGAGATGGAATTGGCGATGCTTGTGACCCTGATATAGATAACGATGGAATTTTGAATGAGCGAGATAACTGTCCAAAGAAAGCCAACGCTAATCAGCTTGATAGTGATATAGATGGAATTGGAGATGTATGTGACAATTGTCCAGCAGTTGCTAATGTTAACCAGGTAATTGTTTAAAAAAAAATAACCTGATTATAGAACAACCTATACATACTCAAATTACCATTTACCCTGGTGGTTTGTATGTTGGTAAATGAAGTCTCTGAGTGCTTATTTTTTGCATGATGATGTATTACATACATATGTTCCAGAGAATCGTTTGGCAAAAATTGAGCGTTCAAGGATTTCATTTATCCTCCAAATGATAATAGGTAAAGGTATTGACGAAGCTAGCTTTACCCTATGGGTTCTTAGGTGAATCTCCATTTGTGTATGGGCCAGTATTGGGGATTCTTTTATTACGTTCAGCCGTAACATAAACTGACCACTTATACGTATAAATTTTGATGTCAAGACAGCTTATATTACGTACTATCTCATATAGTCTGAACGTAGTATTAAGATGGCGAAAAAGATATTAAATCTAATGAAAATAGATCGTGGGCTGATAAATTAAATTTTTTGTAGGTGGACTCTGATAATGATTTAATTGGAGATGCTTGTGACAGCGATATCGATAGAGACCGGGATGGTGTTCAGGATAGTAGGGATAACTGCCCGAAGCTAGCTAACTCTGACCAATTGGATACTGATGGAGATGGCAGGGGTGATTTATGTGATCCAGATGCAGATAACGATGGAATCCTGAATATCGAAGACAATTGCCCAATAGTATTCAACCCAGATCAAACAGATGCTAACAGTATGTTAAAAATAGCTTGAAAATACATAATACTTTGTACATTACATTAACTTAAATTTGTATTTTTCAGATGACGGAGTAGGCGATATTTGTGAAGAAGATTTTGATCTGGACAAAATCCCCAATTATTTGGACAATTGCCCAAATAATTCTAAAATTTTTTCAACAGATTTTAGAACATACCAGACCGTTGTGTTAGATCCTGAGGGTGATTCGCAAATTGATCCAAATTGGGTCATTTATAACAAAGGAGCTGAAATTGTACAAACTCAGAACAGTGACCCAGGCCTTGCAGTGGGGTAATAATATTTTATTCGATTTGCAGACTTAATTGTAATGTCTCCTTTTTTGTAGATATGATGCATTCGGCGGAGTTGATTTTGAAGGAACATTCTTTATCGATACGGAAATTGATGATGATTATGTTGGATTCATATTTAGCTACCAAGATAATCACAAATTCTATGCGGTTATGTGGAAAAAGAATATACAGACCTATTGGCAAGCAACGCCGTTCCGGGCTTCAGCTGAACCCGGCATACAACTGAAGCTGATAGACAGCAATACTGGTCCTGGTCAGATGCTTCGCAATAGTTTGTGGCATACAGGAGATACTAAAGATCAAGTGAAACTGCTTTGGAAAGACCCTAGAAATGTTGGCTGGAAAGAACGCACTGCTTACCGTTGGTTACTTTTGCATCGTCCTAAAATAGGTTTGATTCGCCTGAGAGTGTTTGATGGTGAAAAAATGGTTGCTGATTCTGGAAACATTTATGATTCAACTCTGAAGGGGGGACGTCTAGGTGTATTTTGTTTCTCTCAAGAAATGATCATTTGGTCCGATCTGGTTTACAGATGTAATGGTGAGTTATGCATATATTTCTGAATAATATTCTTAGAATACTAAATCTTACATATTCATTATTTTAGATAATGTTCCTGAGGCAATTTACAAAGAGTTGCCACCACGTCTTCAAAAAGAAGTCCAAATTGATTATAAAACGTGACATCATGAATGAATAAAAAATCGTCATAGATACAATTTGAACTACCACTAAACATATTAAATTTATTGACAGGCAATTAAGAGAACTACACTATTTATTGTAACTGATTGTAACAGTATTTCGTTGGATAAATAAGTGTAAGATAATTAATAAAATGTCTTTAATTCTGAGGTAAAAAATGAGAATGCATTTCAATATGGCAAAAATATAAACACCTAAATAATTTACGCCTCCCATTTCAAATGGTCATAATTACCAATTGCAGGCAGGTTGGTGAGGAACAAAAAAATATTGAAAATGAGCAATATACATAAATGAGTACTAAACACATTTAAAATTGAACAATACAAAATAGAGCCAAAATAATTGGCAACGATTCATTTTGTTATTGCTCACTTTTTATTTTTTTAACCGGTGAAAAAAAATCTTTTGCAACTTTTTAATTTTCAATTGCTACTTTCCACTAGCATATTGCTAATTTTTAATAGCTTATTGCTTATGAGCAAGCAGGTTTATTGGTAATTTCACATTAACGTATGGTTTTTCATTCTTTATGTGACCGTTTATTAGGCTTTAATAAATTCATAATCTTCAGAACTATACTGAAACTATACGAAGATATTTGATCGATTTATATCTCAGGTCTCATGGGTTGAGGTTTTATATGTTTGAGGTTTTGCGATACAAAATCAAAGAACTTTATTTTTTGTCAAATGCGGTTTATTTATCACTATGGTGACACAGGTCGTGTGCATGTTTTTTTAGTTGCCAATTTGTTGTGTGTCGTATATAGTGATAGGTCAATATTAAAAATTACACAAATGTCCAACTGTTGCAATGGCGATCAAAATTATCACCGATTACCTGCAAAACGCGCTTTCCCTAACACAGATTTTAAATCGAATTTCATCCTGTCTCACTGAACAGTACTTATTCAATCCCCGTATGTGGTGGTATCTGGTTGGTCATCATCAGCAGAAGCAGCAGCAGTGCTTTCGGTGCGTGGCGTTGAACATTGTTCTCCAGTACACAACGAAATGCTGACCGCAAGAAGCGAGCTGCAGCCCACATGAGCGTCCATTCACCGAAGAAGGACGAAGAAGCATCGCTCTGATCGGAATCAGTAGTTCTTCGTGAGTCGCTGAGGGCCATCTATGCCAAGCGCGTCACCCTCGTTCCAAACAACATACAGCTCACCAGCCTCATCTGTGTCATCTGTGTTGAACACCCTCAGCATTACGAAAAACGGTCCTTTTCAGGACCACGATAAATTTGTTAAAGATGTATTTTAAAGGCAACATTGGAGGTGCAATTTCAAAAACCAAAGTCGTTTGCGGCATGCAGGTGGTCTGAGTCTGATCCAGAGATGATGGATTTTAATTCTTATTATCATTACACCGATCGATAGGAAAATTTCATATGAATCTGTTAAAATTAAAACTTTATCATTTTTCAAAATGTCTCTATTCTCGCTATTATCTGACGTAAATAATCAGTTTTTTCTCGCTTAGTGATTCCTGGCATAATTCCCGATAAATTTATCAAAAAGTGAGTTTTTTTCTGAGAAGAAAGTGTGTTTTCGGCATCATCGGAAGGAAAATTGTTTTGCAATTGCCAATTCGCCAACCGTTTTGCGCACCATCGGTGCGTGGTCACGCATACCTGTGCACACGGATCATCTTCATCGAGTGTCAGCATCTGCCTCCACATTCAAACCGCTCATCCATCTCGTGTGTTCAGCTGAGTGCCGAGCTTCATACAAGCACACACCAACGAAGACCGCCCGCACACGCGGATCGAAGATCATCAAAGCTGCGCGTCGCTCCGCTGCTGCTGTGTAAACGCTCGGTGGTAGTAGTATAGGATTATCAGATAAGTTTTTGTTCTTGTTTCTTTCTTTCTCCCATCAGTTAAATTTTAAGTTTGTGTTTCTGTGTTTGTATTTTTTTTTTCTCGTGTATTGTGTCCGAGTAATTTTGATTATCGTTGCAGTGGTAGAGCGTTTTTCGCTCCCACTAGTACGGCAAAATGGACATTTTGTCGGAAGACGAAATGGACGTTTTGTCGGAAGATGACCCCACTTTGCCACGCGATAGCAAGAAGGGTCGAAAACGTCTGTCATCCCAGAAATCAGATGATGCCATCCCTGGTTCGTCATCTCAGTCTGGTAATGGACAGGGACAGATAAGCCCCCGATCGCGAGCCTACCCAGAAGACTCGACTGGCCCATGGGTTGTTTACTTTCAGCCCAAAAAGAAACCTTTGAATGTAATGCAAATTACTCATGATCTGACGAAGCGGTTCTCGGCCGTGACCGAAATCTCGAAGGTGAGGTACAATAAACTTCGCGTTGTCGTCTCTAACCTGAAACAAGCTAACGAGATTGCTGCCTCCCAGCTCTTTACACTCGAGTATAGAGTGTACATCCCAGCTCGTAATGTGGAGATCGAAGGTGTGGTCACCGAAGCGAGTCTGACCCCCGAGATCCTGGCGAAGCAAGCGGTTGGCCGTTTCAAGAACCCCTTGCTTCCCACGGTTGAGATACTGGAAGTCCAGAAGCTGAACTCAGTATCTTTCAGCGAGGGTAAAAAGAGCTTTACCCCCACAGACTCGTTTCGGGTGACCTTTTCTGGTTCAGCCCTTCCTCACTACATCGAGTTGGGAAAACTTCGGCTACCTGTGCGTTTGTTTGTTCCTCGGGTCATGAACTGCCAAAACTGCAAACAGTTGGGACATACGGCCTCTCACTGTGGCAGCAAGGCACGCTGTTCCAAATGCGGGGAGAAGCACGAGGATGGCGCCTGCACAGTCACTGCACCAAAATGCGTGTACTGTAAGGGAACTCCTCATGGTCTCTCATCGTGCCCGGCATACAAACAATGCGGGGAGAAACTAGAACGCTCTCTTAAGGAGCGTTCCAGGCAGTCTTTTGCAGCAATGCTAAAAACAGCCACACCATCAACCAACGACAAAAATCCCTTTGCTGTTTTGTCTGATGACGAGTCTGACTCTGACTTGGCTGAGGAGGGAGTTTCTTTCAGTTTTCCGGAAGGTTCTGCACGGAAACGAAAACGCATCCGTTCGCGGAAAGTTGCAGATAAGGAACCCCAAATCAGCTTGCCCAAATCAAGGAGTGATGGAAAAAAGGAAGTTTCAACTCCTCCTGGTTTCCGCAGAACTGACTATAACCAGAATTTTCCATCTCTCCCGGGGACATCAAAAACCCCTGATGGTCCATTTTTAAGAACAGAAGCCCCTTCTTCATCCGGGTTGTTCTCATTTGATAAAATTGTGGACGATATTCTCAAGTACCTCAATATTTCTGATCCTCTCAAAAGCATTGTTCTGGCAATGCTTCCTACTGTGAAGACCCTCTTGAAGCAATTGACATTGAAGTGGCCCCTCATTGCAGCAATCATTTCCTTCGATGGATAATTTTCCAAACGAGGTCGGGGATTTGATCACTGTTCTACAGTGGAATTGTCGAAGTCTCATTCCTAAATTAGATTCTTTTAAGTTTTTAATTCACAATAATGATTGTGATGCATTTACTGTTTGTGAAACTTGGCTCTCTTCAGATATCGATCTTCCTTTTTATGATTTTAACATTATTCGACTGGATCGTGAGGATTCGCGTGGAGGAGGGGTACTTTTGGGGATCAAAAAGTGCCATTCCTTCTATAGAGTGAATCTTCCACAATTTCCAGGTATTGAAGTTGTTGCATGTCAGGCTATTATTAAAGGTAAGAGCCTTTGTATTGCTTCTGTTTATATTCCTCCTAGAGCCGTTGTTAATCGCAAACAACTTTCAGATATCTGTTCGGTACTTCCTGATCCACGGTTGATTATGGGAGATTTGAATTCCCACGGTACAGGCTGGGGGGAACTGTATGATGACAACCGTTCTACTTTGATATATGACCTCTGCGACAGCTTTAATATGACAATTCTTAACAATGGAGAAGTAACACGTTTGGCTGGCCCATCCTCGAATGGAAGTAGATTAGACCTCACACTTTGCTCTAACTCATTATCGTTGGATTGCACGTGGAATGTGATCCAAGATCCCCACGGTAGTGATCACTTGCCGATCAAAGTTTCAGTTGCCAGTGGGTTCAATCCGTCGGAACCCGTTAACGTCGCGTACGATCTTACCCGTAATATCGATTGGACAAAGTTCAAGAATGTGATAGAAGATGCCCTAACGTCGGTAGAAGGGCTTCCACCGTTGGAGGAATATAACTTCCTCTCCAATCTGATCTTGGACAGCGCGCTTCAAGCTCAAACTCGGCCGGTTCCAGGAACGTCTTTCCGTAGGAAACCTCCTTCCCCTTGGTGGGACCACCAATGCACTGAGGTTTATCGTAAAAAGTCCGACGCGTTTAAGCTTTTCCGGAAACGTGGAACACCCGTACATTTCGAAACGTACTCGGCTCTTGAACGCGAACTCAAGAGCCTCATCAAAGCCAAGAAACGCGGATACTGGCGGCAATTCGTGGACGGATTATCGCGCGAAACGTCGATGAATACGCTTTGGAACGCGGCGCGAAGAATGCGTAACCGGTCTTCAAACAACGAGAGCGAGGAGTACTCCGATAGTTGGATTCTCAAGTTCGCGCGAAAAGTATGTCCTGATTCTGTGCCGGCACAGATGATTCCTCGCGAAACGACGAATTCGGTAGACGAGATCAGCCAGCCTTTTTCAATGCTGGAGCTCTCACTCGCGCTCCTTTCGTGTGGCAATTCGGCTCCGGGGGCTGATAGAATCAAGTTCAACTTGTTGAAGAACCTCCCAGACGTCGCTAAGAGGCGCATGTTGAACTTGTTTGGTCAGTTCCTGGAGCTTAATATTGTTCCGGATGATTGGAGGCGGGTGAGAGTTATAGCTATTAAAAAGCCTGGAAAACCCGCGTCAGATCACAATTCGTATCGTCCCATTGCGATGTTATCGTGTATTCGAAAATTGTTGGAAAAAATGATCCTTTTTCGCCTGGACAAATGGGTTGAGTTGAACCACCTACTCTCAGATACTCAATTTGGTTTCCGTAGGGGCAAGGGAAC